TCTGTTTTTACATTAGGGGGCAACATCCTTCCCATAATCTGTAGCTGTGCAGTCCACAATTCTGGCTTTTCAAATGTGTAAAGGTAAAGGGACCCCTGACCATTAGGTCCAGTCGTCACCGACTCTGGTGTTGTGGCGCTCATCTCGCTTTATTGGCCGAGGGAGCTGGCGTACAACTTCCGGGTCAAGTGGCCAGCATGACTAAGCCACTTCTGGTGAACCAGGGCAGCGCACAGAAACACCGTTTACCTTCCCGCCAGAGTGGTACCTATTTATCTACTTGCACTTTGACGTGCTTTCAAACTGCTAGGTAGGCAGGAGCAGGGACCAAGCAACAGGAGCTCACCCCATTGCGGGGATTCGAACCGCCAACCTTCTGATCGGCAAGTCCTAGGCTCTGTGGTTTAACCAACAGCACCACCCGCATCCTTTCAAATGTGTAGGTTGACTCAATTTCACACGGGCAAGTTGGCCGCTGGAGAAATTCTGCTGGGAGCAGGATTTGTGTGACCACTGTTGGATTCTTCATTCTACAGATTCACAGAGGCCTATATACTAGCTGTCGGTTATAGATGGCAGGTAGGGTGGCTTTAATAGGGCACCTGAATTGACTAGATTAGTCGGAAGAAAGTGAGATAAGGAGTCTACATTTGTTCCCGGGAAGATAACACTTGCATATGCTAGCAGAAGGGATTTAAAGGCAGTTAGTGGCTGTGAGATTAAGCCTATGAGTCAGGAGGAAAAACAGTTTGGCTGGGTCTTTGCATTTAAGAGCTGTCCTGATTAAACTTACCTTTAAGCAATCGTCTTCAGGAATTGGTCAGATCACTGCAAACATCATCTCCTCCACTTTCCATACAGAAAGTACAAAGGGAACTTGGATGTTTTCTCCCCATCTTAACTGATTGTTTGGGATAACAACCTCCAACAGCACGCTGCTAATTCATTCCACTTAAAATAGGCCCTTGAGCCGGGCTGACATTTTACTCAGTCTCTGGGGGATCCGCGTTGACATTTTAAAGGGCTTCTAAGCATTTTATAATACCCTCCAAATCTGGTTTTAATAAACCATTTCGGCTAAGAAATTTAACATAAGGAATCACCTTTTACTGTTTAGCACTAGGCCAGGCCAGTGCGGGGAAGGAGGGAAATGCGGCAAGCGTATCGCGAGCATCTTTTTCCGATTAAATATACAGTACGTGGAGTGTAACATGCAAATCCATTCCAGATTCTCATAGAGATGACAGCCCTGCTTAGCTCTCAAAACTTCTTGCACTCACTGCAAGTGAGTGGCGAGGTCTGAAAGCAAGCGAAAGTGAGAGATTGCTTTCCTTTGAAGCATCAGAGGATAAAGGGGGGAATCTCTTCCTCCTCTGCAATAAAGAGGGGGTGAGGCGCTCTCCTCTTCCCCTGATGGAAATGTTGGAAAGGTCCCTTCTGGGCTGCCAAAGGCCACTTTTTGAACTCAGCAGGGAGTTCTCTATTAACTTGGGGTAGGAGAGGGAGTTGGAAGCTCGCAGATCAACCAGGTACTCGGGTCTCTTTGCAAGAATGGCACAGTTGTTCTAACTCACCATCGTCATCGTTCTTCCTTCTTTCTGGCACTGGGGTCAGGTGTCTGAAGTTTCACACTGACTGTGGGTTATGTGAGACTGTTGCTCAACCAGGCTGTGTGTGTGTGTTCTCTCTCTATATATGTCTCCAGTACTACAGTGCTATTCTATCCTGGGATTAAATTTTGACACTTTTGATATTATGCTCTGAACATTTAAAAAAATGGGGGGGGGAGTACCAATGCATGGATTTGTTAGCAAAGTCATCTGCGCACATGTTTGTCATCCATCTGTTCATTGGTACGTAAACTGGTGTATCTGATTTTTATTTCACTTTTTGCAAAAACGGCTTGTTAAGAAACCTTGTTGTCAGGTGTTTCAGTCTCTCAGTGTTCCCACTCTTAGTCTTTAAGCTTCTCTATCTCTCTTTCTTGTGTGAATGTGTGTCTGTCTGTCTGTCTGTCTGTCTCTCTGTGTGTGTGTGTGTGTGTGTGTGTGTGTATTGCAGTTAATTGGGGAAAAATTAAAACATAATTTTCTGTATTCAGCCATTTTTATAGGAGTGTGAAATAGAAGGTCTGAGATAGCCGGGATCTCTGAATGTTAAGCTGTTTCTCCTATTTGGGAAGTGCAGTATGCTGATAACAGCATACTTGCCTTATTTGCATGCAGCCATTCAGGCAGATCTCGCCAAAGCAGTTCACCAAAAGTTACATTGCAACAATAAGCATTAATTAAAAAAGAAGTTGCAATTACAGAAAGACTGGTGTGTTTGTTTCAAGGAAGCCGTAACTGGTTCTTCTCCCTTCCCCGCTCATAGTAGGGCCCTTCGGAAGCTCCTGTGCTGGCCCTTGGGGGAGTCCACTGCTGGGAGCAATGGATGTGGAAGTAGCACTTTACAAAAGAAAAAAACGAAACTTACAATCTAAATTTCAATGAAGGGAGAGAGCCACAGGTAAACAAGGGATCAACAGGCGCTGGTGGACCTCCGTATCCTTAGACCAGCCTTTGTTAGACTGGCATTAATTAGTTAAATACTTCATGGGAAAAGTGGAAGAGAGATACGATGACGCAGGTTTCAAGTCTCTGCTGTGTCTTAGCCTATGTATTTGTCAGCCTAGCCTACCTCGCAGGCTGGTTGTGAAAGGAGTTGAGATAAGAAAGATAAAGCTGCAGTTTCCACACACACACACACCCCCCGGGGATAAAGGTGGGGGAACTCACCATGAAGTTCGTTTGCTCGTTTATTGCCGGCCCAGTCACAGTGCCCCCCACCCCGGCTAAGGTAGTGGCTAAATGTAAGATGTAACTAATAAACTCAAGCAGACAATGATCTGGATTAGAAATGGCCACCACTTTATTGATTGCAGATTATAGGTGGATTTTTGGCTCAGGTATTGAGTGTATATCCGTTCTAGCCCCCTCCCCCAGACAAGAAATAATTCTAAAATGGTAAGGTAACTCAGTTCCCCTGAGTTCCTGCTAAAGGGGAAAAGAACACCCCTGTAAAGCACTTTGGGAGATTGAAATGTGCTATGGAAATGATGGCGACAACCAGCTAGTGTTCAGCAATTGGCTAGTTGTGGCCAGTGCTCACTCAGCTTCTGGGTGGCTATTAATTGCTATGGCACAGGGAGCTTTTGTGGGGAAGGCATTTGGAGGCTGCCTGGGCCACCAGTCAAGGAGCCATGTCCTCCCGCATTCCTCAATACAGGGACCGCACCTGCAGCTGCCCGTCTGTCTGATTCAGCTTCCTTGTGATGCTATTGGCCTTCCTCTGCACCCTAGCCAAGAGGAAGGGAAGCTTTTTGAACCTAAGGGCCACATCACCTTCTGGGAAAGCTTCCAAGGGCCATGAGAGGCAAAAGGGGGCGAAATAACAAATGCAAGCTTTTAACTTCATACGCTAGGCCGGTTTCTACGCACATTTGCGCACACACTCTCCACCCATACAAATAATAAATAAATTTATACCCTGCCCATCTGGTTGGGTTTCCCCAGCCACGGCACCCAGCAAAATATTAAAATACAATAATTCATCAAACATTAAAAGCTTCCCTAAACAGGGCTGCCTTCAGATGTCTTCTAAAAGTCTGATAGTTGTTTATTTCTTTGACATCTGGTGGGAGGGCATTCCACAGGGCGGGTGCCACTACCGAGAAGGCCCTCTGCCTGGTTCCCTGTAACTTGGCTTCTCGGAGCGAGGGAACCGCCAGAAGGCCCTTAGCGCTGGACCTCAGTGTCCGGGATGAACGATGGGGGGTGGAGACGCTCGTTCAGGTATACTGGACCGAAGCCATTTAGGGCTTTAAAGGTCAGCACCAACACTTTGAATTGTGCCCGTAAACATACTGGGAGCCAATGTAGGTCTTTCAGGACCGGTGTTTTATGGTCTCAGTGGCCGCTCCCAGTCACCAGTCTAGCTGCTGCATTCTGGATTAGTTGTAGTTTCCGGGTCACCTTCAAAGGTAGAAAATGGCACCATCGCAGTTGAATGGCACATTCCAGACAGGCAAAAACTCTCAAGGAACTTGGGGGGAAGGGGGTGTAGCTAGGGAGGGAATGAGGTGTGCTGAGAGTTCCAAGGGCCAGGCAGAAAGGCTTGGAGGGCCGCCTTTGTCCAAGCCTGCCAGAGGGAAGAGGGAGTCCTGTGTATACAGATTTCCTGCCCCTTGCAGGGTTCCTGCTTGGTTCCCAGCGTCTTTTTGAGCCCCATCAAAAGAGAAAGCCATACTCGCACCCACCTAGCAAGGCAAATGGAAAACTGGCAGTTAATAATATTAAAAAACTGAAACTTTCCTAATAGGAGCTATATGGTTTGCTGGTGTTTTTGTTGGAGCAAGGGACAAATGTTTTGCAAAAGGGAGAGAATGTAAGCTTTCTGTAGATCATAAATGGTGCGTGGGGTGTTTGTGATGATCTAGGCATGGTGGAAGTTATAATGTGAGCTAACTGCAGCGAGGAGGAAGGCCACGGCTGTCTCCCAAGTTGATCAGCCCCCACAATGTCCTTGCCACATTTCTACCCAGGGGGTGTTTTCATAGCCAGGGGCTCATCTCTGTTTCCCCAAAGAGGCTGAGCACTACAAGGCTAGCCTGAGTAATATCCCATTGGGTCATTTCTTTTCTCTCCCCCCCCCCCCCAAAAAAATTCTCCCAGCCCAGATTTATGAGCATCATGAGTATTTTGTAAGAACAAAAATCTCTCCACCCAGCTCCATTAGAAAAAGCAACCCGGAGAGCAAATGAACATTGTTCCTCCATTTGTAATATTTTTCTTTTCTCAAATGTTAGCAAAGCATTGCCTAGGACTTGTTCGCTCACACAGCCAGGAAAGGGTTGTTGTTGTTTTTCCCTTAAGAGGCATAACTTTAATCACTTGTGTCATTCATCCTCTGGGGCCGATGCAATTATGCATGTGGGTGTTTGCTATATATATATATATGTGTGTGTGTGTGTGTGTGTGTGTGTGTGCATTATGTGTGTGTATGCACATACATGCATACATGCACATTGTGTACACACACACAACACACAAGTGATTTTAAACAACAGTAAGGAACTCAGGTCACATTACTAATACAGTGGTAGCTCAGGTTACATATGCTTCAGGTTACACACTCTGCTAACCCAGAAATAGTGCTTCAGGTTAAGAACTTTGCTTCAGGATAAGAACAGAAATCTGGCTCCAGCGGCGCGGCGGCAGCAGGAGGCCCCATTAGCTAAAGTGGTGCTTGAGGTTAAGAACAGTTTCAGGTTAAGAACGGACTTCTGGAACGAATTAAGTACTTAACCAGAGGTACCACTGTAAGCTGGATGACATTATTAATAAACACATTTGGCAAAAGAGAGACAAGAATGGCAGTGGGGGCAGGAATGGAGTCATTAGTGAGGCTGGATGAATGAATGGCTTTTTGCAGCACAACGTAAGCAAAACAGGTCCTATCTCAAGGAGCTACAAGACATGGATGAGAGAAGCCGGTAGTGGCTGGTTCGTTAGGGCAAACGGGGTAATGCTTCACCAACCTCGGCCAGCCCCTGCCCCACTTTCTATGAATGGAAGAGAAATCTGATTTTGTTTGCATTTTCGTGTGAAACTGCCAAATTAACACTCCAGGTAGCTCCAGCAAGGGAGCAATCCAGCATCCGCCTTGGGCAAAGGAAGGCCACCAGTGACTCTTTTGGAGCTACCAAAAGGATAATTACAATTTGGGAGGGCCATCAAGGTACCACCAGACCAGCTTTTCCCAAACTTGGGTCTCCGGCTGTTTTTCGACTACAATTCCCATGAACTCTGGAGACCCAAGTTTGGAAAACCTTGTACCTTGGAAAACCCAAGTGTTACATGGACTGGATCTGGTTCTCGGGTTGCCGCTAGGCCACTCCAGGGCTGGCAAGTCCTTTGGTGATGATGCCCACAGCTTTGAAAAGGCTCAGAGATGGACAGATCTCCTTTTTCCTTCTTCCCCCGACAGGCTCTCGCTGGAAGGCTATGACGAACCTTGAGAAGCAGCCGTACTATGAGGAGCAAGCGCGCCTCAGCAAGCAGCACCTGGAGAAGTACCCGGATTACAAGTACAAGCCCAGGCCGAAGCGCACGTGCTTAGTGGACGGGAAGAAGCTGCGGATCGGCGAATACAAGGCAATCATGCGCAATCGGCGTCAAGAGATGAGGCAGTATTTCAATGTTGGGTATGGGCCCTTTGTGGCGGATTTCATATACTTAGGTGGAAAGGGTCTGGGGTATCTGATAGAGCACGAGACTCTTAACCTCAGGATCATGGGTTTGAGTCCCATGTTGGGCAAAGAAGTCCTGCATTGCAGGGGTGGACTAGATGGCCCTCGTAGTCCCTTCCGACTCTACTGTTCTATGAGTCTATGTGCATTTTAGCCTTGCAGGTGTTATTAGGCATATAGTGGGAACCTGGAGTTTTCCCAGTGTGGGATGGTGGAGAAAAGGGGCCTACAAGTTTGCATCTCTTTTCTCCTGACTTCCAAGGTTGAGGGGTGGCTCAGTCAGTACAGCATGAGTCTTTGAATCTCAGAGCTGTGGGTTTGAGCCCAACGTTGGGCAAAAGATTGCAGGAGTTTGAATTAGATGAGCCTTGGGATCCCTTCCAATTCTACAGTTCTAATATTTTAAGGTCTGCTCGCCCAACCACCAGCACATGAGAGCTGTAGCCACTTCAGCTGGAGGGAAGTCAGTTGTGTGCACTCACCCTCATCCTTGTAACGCGACTTCCAGTGCATCACATGCAGTGATGGGCACCAGTATGGATGGCTTTAAAAGGATTGGGCAAATTCCTGGAGGCTGAGGCTGAAAAGGGCTAGTAGGCACAATAGCTACATTTGGACCCCACAGTCGGAGGCAATATGCCTTTGAATGCCAGTCACCAGGACTGGGAATCGCACACGGGGAGAGAGCCCTATCGCACTCGTGTCCTGCGTTTGGGCTTCTCATGGGCTGACCATTGTGAGAACAGGAATTCTGGGTGCGATAAGCCTTTTTGGCCTGTTTCAGCAGGGCTCCTCTTACATTCAGGACTCAGTATTTGCAAGTGGTTTGCAAGCTTGGTTCTCAGAGGCTGCCCTTACATTCTGTGGGGTGAAAAGCAGGCCATGTAATCAATGACCCCCCTCTTGCTCTTCTTTCTCAGCAAATGCTGTCCACTGGCATACTGCTGCTTCTGAGCACGGAGATTCCATTTAGCTGTCGTGATTGTTAGTAGTCACCAATACAGACCTGTCCCCCTTTGTGAATTTTTCTGGTCCCCTCTCAAAGCCGTCTAAGCCAGTGCTCATCACCTCATCTTCGTGGCAGTGAACTCCTTTAGTTAATTGCAAGTCGGGCCTGCTACAAAATGTTGCGGTGTGGTGCCCTCCAGTTCAGGGTGCCAGCCAGCTAGCCCGTCAGGCCTGCTTTCAAGCTGCTCCACCATTCCGTTCCCATTCGCTTTTGAACCCTATGCAAATGTTCAGTCTCTTCACAGGTAAACGAACACTGCAAAGCCCTGCCCGCTCTGGTATACCATTTTTACTCAGTTTAGAGCTTTCACTAAGTTTGAAGGCAATGCTCAGAAGCAGAGGACCTCCTGTTTTTCTGGGGGCACCTCGTGGGATTTATATCCCTGACTATGCAGGGTTCTAAATCATTCAAGGAGCTTCTATGAGGACCAGAGACCAGTGTTTTCCATTTTGCCCTCCAAAAGTCACCTTACTGCTTACTCCACATGCTAGGGTTTGAGGCAGCAGTCACACAACGGTAGCCACAATCCATACTGATCCCGCTATTTCTTGACAAATTCATCGGCAGATTCCTACTTTGCAGGGGGTTGAGCTAGATGACCCCCAGGGACTCTACAGTTCTTTCAGACACTGTTCTCTCTCAGCCCTACTGGGAGCTGCCAATGATTGAACATGAGACCTTCTGCACGCAAAGCTGATGCTCTACTACTGAGGTACATCCATTCCGTTTGGAGTGCATAAGCAGAACTCCTCATACCTGAACATCAGAAACAGAGGAAAGGGTGTGCCTTATAAATAAATATACACTCTTTCCTGTCTTGAATGTTCTGGGGAGAAAGAGCAGGCGCTTCATCACTTAATGTACAATTAATATATGGAATTCACCGCCACAAGATTTTTTTTATGGCTACTGATAGAGGATGGAGGGAAAATTTGATTCGGTATGCATTGAAAGCTGGACCAGTCAAATCTGCACTGTCAAAAACAATTTGCAAACCAAAACAAAAAAATATCCTTTGAAATTTTCACTTATCTGAATTTTGCGATTCAGTTCTTCAACAAACAGCATTTGCAAAAATGCATTTATTAGGGGAAAGTATGCATTAAAATGAAGATATAAGGGGAAATATGGGGTAATTGCTTTGCAAAGTAGTGTACATTGGTCAAAATATAAAAATTATTTAATAGGAGAAATTCACACTAAAACATTTTCATGAGGATTTTTTTAAAAAACATCATACATCCCTAGGAAATGTGAACTGAATTTAAGACGGGGGGGGGGGATGAGAAACAAAATTGATATATCCTTCTATCTACTTACATAGCGCTGCATCTTTCTGAGTTGGTAGAGAACAAACGCCTAGCCGATCCAAAGCTAAGCACTTTTGAGTCCTATTGATTTTTTTTTTCAGCGTAAGAGTTAAGTACAGGTTTAAATCTCTCCTGTTGAAATCAAGGAGACTTAAAACTGCTTAACCAGGGCTGGACTGCGCCCAACGTTTTTGGAACGAGAGCTGGCTGTTTGAGCCTGGTTAATGGATGACAGTAATGATGAACAGAGATGAATCTGTCCAGCTACTGCTAAGTGTCACCAGGCAGTATTTTAAACAGCTACAGTGTGCATTGTAATACTAAGCAGCTCAGCCCAGAAATCTGAGCTGCTTAACCCTGTGGTGTTGGCAAGTCCGGTGATCCCACTGGTAAGCGCGGAAACAAACAGAGGGATGTCAGCCAAACCTTGGCATCAGGAGATTAAAAAGAGAGGGAGGGGAGGACCTGCTGGAAAAAGAATAGGCAGCGACAAAGCCTCCAGAATTCCACTTATCTCGCCAACACTGATGCTTGACAATGTTAGGGCGGGGGGGATTAATCCAGCAATAGTTGAAATGGTATTCAGCTTCCTTACTGAGCTAGCCAAATTCTCTCTCTGCTGGGAGTGGCGCAGACACTTTGGGGTTACCAGTAGGTGTGCCCCAAATGAGGTCTTTGCAACAAGGTGACATCTTAAAGGGAACTGATTTTGGGTTCTCTAAAGGGTCTGACATTTGTCGGAATGTGCAACCTCGTGCTAAGTTTGGTGTGCTTAGAACTGATTGCTTTCAGTAGACTGTCTCACGCCTAAATCGGCACAGCGCTAGGCTGTAGGGCTTGAATCCCGATCAGGTGAGACTGGGACTTGCTTCTGAGTAAACATGGTGAGGGTGGGATTACAGGTAGCAGCTCTTCAGAAATATAGAGACAACTCCATAGAGCTGCCACAGTTTGTGGCACACAGTGAACTCTGCTGTTGCAGGTTTTCAAAGTGTTCCCGCCCTATACTCAGAAATTAGCCTCCTAACCACAGCCAGCTGTAACAGATCTAGCTACATGTTGGTGTTGCTGTTGTGGGTGCCTGTTTGGTAAAATCCATCCTGCGTAATCCACACTTCCCTTATTTAACCCATGCTAAGTTCAAATTGAAAAGGGACACGGGTGGCGCTGTGGGTTAAACCACAGAGCCTAGGACTTGCTGATCAGAAGGTTGGCGGTTCGAATCCCCATGACGGGGTGAGCTCCCGTTGTTTGGTCCCTGCTCCTGCCAACCTAGCAGTTCAAAAGCATAAAGTACAAGTAGATAAATAGGTGCCACTCCAGCGGGAAGGTAAACGGTGTTTCCGTGCGCTGCTCTGGTTCGCCAGAAGCGGCTTAGTCATGTTGGCCACATGACCCAGAAGCTGTATGCCGGCTCCCTCGGCCAATAAAGCGAGATGAGCACCACAACCCCAGAGTCGGTCACGACTGGACCTAATGGTCAGGGGTCCCTTTACCTTTTTAAGTGCAAATTATTTTTACCAATCCATACATCTGCATGCTCTTGGAGCCCTACAAAATTGGGTTTAGTGGGGGAGTATTCTGTAGGGATTTAAATTGTCTAGACCAGAGCTGCTGGTCTAGTCATTTTCACATCACCTTTGAATTCATTGATACTAGGGACCTAGGTCTCAGAGATTCTAAACTTGTGACGGGGCTATCTCACTTTAGATCAGCCTTCAACAACTGCAACTCCCATCACTAGTGTGGAGCCAGTGTGGTGTAGTGGTTAAGAGCGGTAGTCTCGTAATCTGGTAAACTGGGTTCGCTTCCCCGCTCCTCCACATGCAGCTGCTGGGCGACCTTGGGCTAGTCACACTTCTCTGAAGTCTCTCAGCCCCACTCACCTCACAGAGTGTTTGTTGTGGGGGAGGAAGGGAAAGGAGATTGTTAGCCACTTTGAGACTCCTTAGGGTAGTGATAAAGCGGGATATCAAATCCAAGTTCTTCTTCTTCTCTTCATCGCTTCTGGTTGAGGCTGATTGGAGTTGTAGTCCAAAATGACCTGGAAGGTGAAGCTGTTTTAACCAGTAGGTTGAGGTTCTTGTGACTGAATGTTTATCTCTACAAAATCAGTCTCCACACAGAAATCTAATATTCTCTTAGGGATTCTAGCTCTCTATATGCAGGTAGTAATTCAGTTGAATTGCACAGAGGAGCATTGCCATCTATGAAGTGGTTCAACCCAGACTCAGGTTTACCACCTCAGCAAAAACGCAGTAGCTGCTGTTAGAAATTAAAACAACGAGACAGACCGGTCTTATCTCCCCTATAGCAAGGCTCCCTCTTCCCCATCTCACAAGGTTGGTATGGTCATCACCCTGTCTGCTGCTGGCATGTTGCCCTCAGGCTGAAATAGGTTCCCCACTCCTGTATCCTCTGCCCCAGATAGGCCTCTTTCTGTTGCTATAACGCTTGAACCTTCTCCTTGAAGGAAGAGAGAGAGAGATTTAGAAATGCGTCAAGGATCGGAGAACTCCGCCAACCCTGCCCCATGGCCTTCCAGGATTGTTCTGAGGCTTATTGCACGCTTGGCGTAAACGGCCAGGGCAAGGTTTCACTCTCAGTTAAGCCTGCTCTCCTCCAGAGATTCCCCTCCTGTCTCCCGTGGCAAGGCTTTCCGTTGCAGACGGACACACCTTTGATGACATTACAATGCGGAGCATGTTCTGCACAATATTATCGCAATTGAATTAGCCCATGCTGCAAGGCAACAAAAGGAGCATCAGTGCTAAATCTGTAGGTTTGCAAGGATCCCCCAGAGCTTCTTAGGGAGATAAACACAGCCAGCATTCCAAGATTTGAGGAAGGAATTTAGCAGGCCTAAAATAACCCAGCTCTTTTATGACATTTGCATGTATTTCCAAGCTTTCAGTATCTGAAAAGGAAGGTTTTAAGCAGATGCTTGGCATGGTAGCTTTATGATTTCGCAGAAAAGTTACAAGAAGATGGCCTAGTATGCCTCTCTTGGATGCTCAGAGCCCAGCCACAGTTTTTAAGAACTGCCTTAAGGTCTGCTTTTATGAAGCTGTCTTTTTAAACTGAGTCAGACAAGTGGATTTGTCTACCTTTATGTTGTCTATGCCAGGGGCTGGGGAACTTCTGGCCTAGGGATGGGAGAAGAATTTTTATTAAGTTTGCACTCCCCCCGCCAAAAAAAAATATGCAAACTGAAACACAACCTTCATTCGAAATTTGCATATCTCCAAATCTTGCAAAGCAATTTTCCAGGCAGGTAACACGTACAAAAATGCATATACTAGGGTAGTATATGGATGAAAATGCTTATAGAGAAGTTTTTAATGTTGGCGGTTTTATAAATTGTTAGAAGCTGGCCAGAGTTGCTGGGGCAACCCATCATTGAGGACGATTATGATGATGATACTATATTTGTGAAAGTGATATACAAGGATGTATATTGGGATAAGCTGCATACAAAAAAAAGTGTGCTTGGGGAGAAATTTGGTCTAAAATGCTGATGGATTTCCATGGGGACTGTTTTAAAGTAAAAGCAGAAAAGTCACAAATGCATGTGGAAATGTGAGGAACTGAAGGCTAGGAAAATGAGAGAAAGTGAAACCAACAACTTTGCCCATCCATACTGTGGCTCTTTAGATGCTGTTGGACTATAACTCCTGCAGGTTCCTCATCCCTGGCAGCAGGTCTGCAACGTCTTGCAATGAAGTCATTCCCAGCCCTGCAGCCTGAACTCTTATCTAGCTGGAGGTCCTGCATAATGAATCTTGGCGCCTTCTCCCTGCCCCCACGGAAATGTGTGCTCTAGCACTGAGTGTGTGGGTCCTCCCCCTGGGATTTGACCTTCTTTTCTGGCAAAGGTTGCAGAACCAGAAATAAGTGTGATCAGTCGATCACACGGCAAAGTCTTGCACCAGCGCTGTTTCTCAAGGGCCCTTCCAGCGCAATCCATCCCCATCCCTCACAATTCAGGGATGCAAATCTGCATCCTGGGCATTGTGCTGGGGGAAGCACTACCGTTTCCTGACGCCAACACACCATGCATCAATGGAGACATCCCTTGAAACGGCCTCAGTCCTGTATACCTGAAGGAGCGTCTCCACCCCCATTGTTCAGCGTGGACACTGAGGTCCAGCGCCAAGGGCCATCTAGTGGTTCCCTCACTGCGAGAAGTAAGGTTACAGGGAACTAGGCAGAGGGCCTTCTCGGTAGTGGCGCCTGCCCTGTGGAACGCCCTCCCAGCAGATGTCAAGGCAATAAACAGCTATTTTACTTTTAAAATACAGCTGAAGGCAGCCCTGTTTAGGGAAGTTTTTAATGTCTGATGCTGTATTGCTTTTAATATTTGGTGGAAGCTGCCCAGAGTGGCTGGGGAGACCCAGCCAGATAGGTGGGGTATAAATAAATTATTATTATTATTATTATTATTATTATTATTATTATGCAAGCAGCAGGTTCAGAGGTGGTTTTGTCAGCACCATGGCAGGGATGCAGAGAGGGTTAAACTTCCCCTCCTTACCTCCAACCCCCCCCCTTTCCTGAGGCTCCTCAGACTGCCCCATTGCTGCCGTTTACGCTTATGCATTAATTACACTAGAGAAATTAATGTTGGTCCTAAGGAAGGAAGTCGGAAACACAAGAGGTCTTATGCCCTATAGGGAATCTTCTGTACTGGGCCCACATGGGGAAATAGCATGCCCATTAGAACTGAAGGAAATGCCAGTGAAACAGAGAAATAATGAGTTATGTTTGACATCTAAGGCATATCAAACATATGAAGCAATGGCTCCAATATAATGTAATGTTAAAAAAAAAATGCATTAAGATTTATAATACATGGGTACAATTATTAAGATATGGCATCTGGGGTCTGTAATTGCACCCCGTGTGGGGTTGTCCTACCCCTAATGTCTTACACATGGACGTTTTCATTCTACTCAAAACTTCTTGGAAGTATGCATTCAACAACAGTACTACATAGTTAATGTTCCTTACCTTAACTGCTGCATTTGTGCAGTTTCACTGCTGCGTTGTTAAATCAGAGTTGTCACCATATTGCGGTCTAATAACTTGAAAGTGCAATGTTTTATTTTCTTCCAGTTTGACTTTCTTGAAGTCTAAAATGATACTAATTAGTGGGGAGATGCTGAACATATTTTCATATCCCTGGAAACATGGCTTTAAGGGGGCCTGCAAGAGAGAGAGGGAGAGAGAAGGGTAATAGCTTGGTGGCATAGTATCTGTTTTGAATGCAGAAGGTCCAAGGTTCAAACTCTAGCATCTCCAGGTAGGCTTGGTAATGTTTTGTGCCTAAAACCCTGGAGGGTTGCTACTGGACAGTGTAGACAATGCTCAGCTGAATGGACCAATGGTCCTATTCAGTATAGGACAACAGTTGACCATCTCCGCACAGCCACTGACAATCAGGGTAGATAATACTGAGCCAGAAGGACTAATTAACTCAGTACAGTGGTATCTCTGGTTGCTAATGGGATCCGTTCCGGAGGCCCATTCACAACATGAAAAGCCCGCAACCTGAAGCGCCGTCTCTGCGCAGGGGTGATTCGGCGCCTCTGCGCATGCGCAAAGCGTGATTTAGCACTTCTGCGCATGTCGCAACCTGAAAAAACGTAACATGAAGCAAACGTAACATGAGGTATGACTGTATAAGGTAGCTTCCTTTGTTTATTTCTAAAAGAATGGCTTATGAGGATGCATCCTCCCCCTTGTGTCTAACGCTTCCCCATATTGTTTCCCCCCTCCTTCATTGCCAACAGACAGCAAGCACAGATTCCCATTGCGACGGCCGGCGTAGTCTACCCAGGGGCCATTGCAATGGCAGGAATGCCCTCCCCGCACCTGCCCTCGGAGCACTCAAGCGTTTCTAGCAGTCCAGAGCCCGGGATGCCCGTTATCCAGAGCACTTATGGCATCAAAAGTGAGGACACCTCCCACGTCAAGGAGGAGATGCAGACTGACGACATCAACGGCGAAATATACGACGAGTACGACGAAGAGGACGATGACCCCGACGTGGACTACGGCAGCGACAGCGAAAACCACATCGCGGGGCAAGCCAACTGATAGGAGGGGGTCCCGATTCTTGGCGTTGACCTCGGAGGACTTCAGTGGGAAGCCCCGGCTGGTTCCTTAGCCCAGTGGCCAAGCACACAGACTTAAATCCTCACACACTGACTGTTACTTAAAAACTCTTAGTCTTAACTAGTTGGGGGGACATCAGCTGATCAATAGGCATCAGCCCGCGTCGGGGGGGGGAATAAACTTTTTAAAAGGAAAGCGAAACAAAAAATTTAAAGAGACAAAAAGGCTCAGAGGAAGGAACCGTGACAAGGAAGACAACTCACGAAGACAACAAATATATATATATATAAATATATATATAAAACGGACGGAAATAAGCTATGGGTAATATAATGCCAGTAATTCAGCTGCTATACCCGAGCACTGAAGTCTTACCCGTTCAACCTTTTATTATTATTATTTTTTTCAAAATAAACTTTATGGCTGTTTGTTCTACAATGTTCTAGAAAATTCTCACTCAGGTACACAGTGCCAACAAGTGGCTTGTGAATGTGTTCTGTTGTTTTTGTGCTACAGGTAAAAGGAAAAAAAAATAAGATTTGGGGTGGGGTGGGGTGGGGGGAGGTTGGGGAGGAGGTGACGCACCTGACCAGGATGGGGCAGGGGGCAGAATAGATGATTTTTAAAAACAATTCTTTATACTTCCCCCTCCAATTTTCCCACCTTTTTCTTTTTCACCCTTCCTCTCCAGAGTCAGGGTTATTAAGGCATTTATGCATCTGGCTGGAACGGACCTGTTTTTTTTAGCCCATGTGGCATTGCACATCCTGATTCACAACAATTGCTGCTTGCAGGCGAGGAAGAGGTCATTGGACCTGTAGGAGTTTGCTTATGACCCTGATGGTTTGCTCCAGTGCAGAATGTTTTCTGTGCGGGCTGCAATAAACCTTTGGGTGGTTTGAGAGATTTGTAGACCATGAATTGAGCTCAAGAGATGCCCAATATGGGACCTTTCATCAACATATCATCATCATTATTTATTGGATGTCTTACCTGCCTTTCACCACCAGGTCCCAGGACAGGTTACACCCATATAAAAATACAATATTAAAATCCTTTAAAACAGCAGTGCTCTCCCACTGACTTACGTCCTTCCCTTCCACCAAAATACATTAACCCAGTCCCTTAAAAATGCAAGCACTTGTTATATCTTGGTTTGATACCTTCCTTATTAATCTACACACGTCCTTAAATGGGTCATGCCAGTCACCAGTTAGCCTGATCACCTGGGAGGCATATGTGCCCTCGTCCCAATCCAATATCTGCTTGACCTTGATGGATGTGCGCGAGAGCATGTTGCCACATGGGCTGCAGTGGGCATATTCTTTATTTCTGCTGCCACCACCCCAGCCAATCACCCCCTTCCTTTCTAGACAGGGCCTCCTTCCACCAATTGCACACCAGACGTAGTCTCTGAGCAAGTGCCAAATTTGTACTCACATGCTGAACAACTTCCATTTCATGTTTTCTTTCCCAGTTGGTCGTCTTTTCTTTATTTCTTTCATCTCGTCTTCGGTCTAAAGTTAGGACAGTGTTGTGTCTTAGACAATCCGTTGAAGAACCTGATTACCAGCAGCTGGTGAGGTTAGATTTTTCTTTCTTTAATTAATTTTCTATTAAAAAAAAACACAAGTTAAAGGAAACTGTAGGTGCTGTTCTCAGGTGAAAAAGAGAGAGAAAGAGAGAGAGAGAAACAAGAGATTTAGAGGGGGAAAATATTTTATGAATCGTGGACTTGTGTGTTTAGGTGGATGTGGGTGTTTATGGTACTAATAAGAATAACCTTCAGAGAATTGTTGGGGTGGAGCAGAAGTAAATCAATGGATGATTTCCCAAATAACTGAGTCTGTTTGACATCCTGAATTTACACTTCATGTTGGTGCTACATGTAATAGATTTCCATTGTTTGCATATGAAGTGCGGCACTGAAGAATGTGACACATTAACTTCCTAAGTCAAGTATTGGGGAGGAAAGGGTGAGGGTGTCCAATGTCATGTGTTCAGAGACTTTCAGCTCCAGATCCGCATCAACCATGAGGTGGAGGCTGAGATGAAATCTTGCTTGTGGGTGAAATCTTGAGTGAGCTATGAAAATAATTCCTGTGATATATGAATGATTGACCCAATATGTGTGACCCATCTTCCCACGCCCGTGCATCCAGAGTTGGACTCAGATTGGGCAAGGCATTCCTCACAGTTTGTCATTCCACATAGTCCCATCCCTCGTGATGGAAAGTGCACTACGACACTACCATGGGCACTAATGTCTGCAGTGGGCCTTTGTGTATCAATAGCTGTTCCAGTCATGGTGCTGCAACATTGCCGTAGTGTCACTGGGACATTGCTTTGGTTCTGCAGGGAGATTCCAACAGTTGGAACAATCCCGATTGAGGGCTCTGGCGACACACTCTAGGCTTCCAGGGCCTAGCAACTGCCCTATTCATTTCAATGCCAGAGAGTGCTTGGTATATATCACCCCAGTTCCATCTGGCATTTTCCCAGGTTAGAGAGAATGAGACAGAGTCCTGCTTTTGTGGTGTATCTTGTGTACCTTGGGCCCATTCAATCTTTGGCTTCCTGCCATGATGAGGAAGTCATGATGATTGGACAAGGGAAAACTAGGCTTTTGACCTAGCTGAAATCAATGGAACTATGCTCGCTAAATGGAAGAACTTTACCATAAGCAGTTTATAGTTCAGGCTGCCAGATAGCATACTAGGTTTGATGATAAGCAAGTGGCTCCACATTCCAGCAGTTCTCACAATGTCTTGCTTGCTAATACAGATGCCTCAGGCTCATCGGTGACCCAAATGGGAAAGGTTTATTCTGCCATTCTGTGTGCCACTATTAATTCCATTCTAAGTGGTTTACTACAGCAGAGAGCTACAGAGATAGACCTGCACATATACTGTTTGCATGCAATGCTAAGCCATGGTTTGCATAGCTTAGCGGTGGTTTGTTTGTACATCCAAGTCCATCCTAGCCAACTATGTTTTTGTTGTGGCCAACAAACCAGTATATGGAACCATGGTTTGAAATGGGCTTGCAAATTTTGACTTGTGGTTTCTCATTAGGTCTGAACCCACTATCCTGGCTTAATCCCAGTTTGTTTCAGCACCCTGCCCTCGATGCTTGCTCAGCTACAAAGGTACAAGATGAACATTTTGAAAATGAAACCAACATTAAAGGTAAAGGGACCCCTGACCATTAGGTCCAGTCGTGACCATCTCTGGGGTTGCGGCGCTCATCTTGCTTTATTGGCTGAGGGAGCCGGCGTACAGTTTCCGGGTCATGGGGCCAGCATGACTAAGCCGTTTCTGGCAAACCAGAGCAGCGCACGGAAACACCGTTTACCTTCCCGCCGGAGCGGTGCCTATTTATCTACTTGCACTTTGACGTGCTTTCGAACTGCTAGGTTGGCAGGAGCAGGGACCGAGCAATGGGAGCTCACCCCGTCGCGGGGATTCGAACCGCTGACCTTCTGATCGGCAAGTCCTAGGCTCTGTGGTTTAACCCACAGCACCACCTGCATCCCCTAAAAAACCAACATTAGGCACAACAAATTATAGTTGCTCTGGTCATCTGCAGGGCTGATCCATCCATGGTTAAAACAAACAACGGCTTATCATTACATACAAACTGGTACAGCGCAGAATACAAACTGAAGTCAGCAGCCATTCATTTTTAAAAGAGCAGATCTCTAGTCCTCACTATTGCAAAGATTTTACAGAAACTCCGGACAACATCTGGCGGAATCTCGAAAGCTTAGAGTGGTAGCTAAATAATACTTTTGATAGGGAAAGGCTGTATGACAGCAGGACCAGATTGAGGCTGCCACACGTATTAGGCTGTATGTCCCGTTGACCTATTTCTGAGTAAACATGCATAGAGTTGATACATCTGTTGATTTTGCTGACTATCATTTCAGTGTGTGAATTGACTTCTCCAAAAAAAAGCATTGTGTACAGATCAGTGGGGTGGATGGTGCCAGAGCAAAATGGAAGTTTCATGGTTATTGAAGTCTAAAAAATATCTGACCATATTCTGTGGCTATCATGTGTTTGCCTGGGTATGTCAAAAATGGTGGCAAGCCTTATCCAACACTGTAGCTTTCTTGGGAAGGGGTGGTCCCATCAAATATGTTCAAGCACACCACATAGTTTTTCAAGATGGCAGTATTTGCA